TTGTGTTTCTCACCAAGCTCAATATGAAAAAATCTGGGAAGGAGGAAAAAAAAACCCCCACTCCCTCCCCCCCCCCAAAAAAAAACCCCAAACCCAACCCAAAAAGCAAAAACCAAACAAACCAGGAAAGCAGCACGGCAGGGATCTAACTGGGAACAGAGATGAAAGTAGGAGAAAAAGAAACTAGGGGTTTTGTTGGTTTTTTTTTTTTTTTTAAAACAATAGTTTTTAAAGAGTCCTATTGACATCTGCTTTGTAAATGCTCTGTCATTATTTATAACCTCCCGAGCACAGAATTGTCTCTGTAGTTACAACCATGCTACTCCCATATTTTGGCTTTGTTAGCAAAGAGCCAGCAGCGTTTTTACTGGTGCTCTGGGAATAGAGATCTAACATTTCATACACAGTTTATTTAAAAGTGGACTAATTTAACATTCTTGATGGTTCCTTTTAGCACAACTGTTGCTAATTACCAGCTCCGGAATGATTTGTTAATCTGGGAGCAACAGCGGTTCCACAGCAGCATAAATACACCAAGACAAAAGGCAAGGAGGGGAAAAAGAAAAATAAAAAGAGAGACATTGGAAAGGGTCAAGTTTTGGTGAATTAAAGCAAATCAAGTGACAGGTGGAGTCGGGAGCAGAGAGTAGGAAGAACACCGTGAAATGGAGCGGTAAAGGGGATAATCCTGGGCCTGGAGAAGCAGAAAAAAAATAGCGGCAATTTTTAAAGCTGTGCAAATGCTGGGGTTGGTGGCATGGGCAGGAAGGTGGCCTGAAAGATGACGTGTGCTCCTCAGGCCGGGGACATGTGCTCCTCAGGCCAGGGCCATCGTCAGGCTCCCGTTAACCCCGTCTGCCCGGGGCAGGGTGGAGCAAGGCTGGGCAGAGAGCGAGCGGGGAGGGGAGCCGGGACGCGACCTCGGCTTGGTTAATTGGTTCCAGGGCACCGTGCGTGGAGGGACACAAACAGAAATTAAGCAAACACGATCATAAAACATGAGAAGCGGGTGGGAGGACTGAAGCCGGAGTCCTCAAAGGAGCCCTTGAAATACTGGAGCGGCGTTGGGAAGGGACAGGATCCAACCGATAGCTTTGTGTTATTGCACATGATTTTTCTTGAGGGGGTTTCAGCAAGCACCGAAGAGGCAGCGAAGCAGCTTCACGGCTCATGGTCTCCCATCCCACCTCCCATCCCTGTGGCTCCGTGCTCTGGGCACAACCACGGCCGTCAGCCTCCTCCCGCCCTGTGGAACCACCTCGGACCTGTTCCAAAACCGCCCTGTTCACAGCAAAAGACCCGAAAGCAAAATTTCTTAAAAGAACAAACTTCTGGAAAGGAACCGTGTTATCTTTGACATTTATAAATCACCGAAGCCATTGGTACCAAGATGAGCAGGACCCAGACAGCTGTGGAAGGGACTGAGCAGCCTCCCTCCAACCACGGCTGCCACACTTGGATCACTTTGGTCTTTCGCCGCATGTGTGAAAGGACTTGAAAGTTCATAAAATTAATTCCAGACAAATATTAGTGAGGCCTCAAGTGGAAAGCACATCTCCTTCCTTCTGGAAATTTACAGTTTGTCTACTTTTATCTTCTGGAGGCTCTTCGGGGATCAAAGATTCGATCAACTTTCCCTTTGCAAACCTCATGAACAGAATGGAGTTATCAGTACCGTGACATAATTTTATTTTATTTCATTTTTTAATGATTCATTGCCCTTCTCTAAAAAGTAAAATTCCTTCATGTAGGACTAGAGCAAACAGCCCGAGTTACACAGGAAAGCTATTCCCTTTATTTATGGATTTTTACAGTTGTTAGAAGGTCAACCCCTACCCTGGCAGCTTGCACTTGTTAAACACTGCTCTACCCAATAAAACCGAGATGGCCAAACATTAAGCGACCGCTTGCCACCATAACCCACCTTGCACAGCATCACTAGGAAGATGACCCATCGCTCTGGCAACGTCCCCATCCTCATTGCCCTATGGGGCCAACCCCCCTAATTTACAAGAAGACATTTATAAATGGTAGAGCTGTGCTACGCCTCTGGAGCGATCAACTCTGACGCGTTCAGGGAACGCGACGTGAACCTGGGAAAGTGGTGCAAGTGATAAAGGCACGACACGGTTCCACCCGGGCATGGGGATGATGAGAAAAGCCCTCGTTAGTCCAGCGACTCCCAGCATCTATTTCTCACCGCGCAGAGCTCCTCTGCACATCTGGCAATAGAAAGGCAGCGCTTAGGCAGCCTAACTCCGCCGAACATCTGCTGGCAGCACTCCCTTTACGCCGCGCGCACGCGGTGGAAACTCGCTACTTAGACATGCGACTTGCGAAGAGACTGGAATAGATTGCACGGAGTTGGTGCAAAAGGGCTTGGATCCCACCTGAGCCATCTGAGCATCAGAGCGACACCGGCTCTAAAGATGCTGGACCACATTTAGCTGGAAGCGCTCGGGGAGTCTGTACCAAACGCATCATACTTGTCAGTGTTTCGGGGTGGGGATGATGAGAAAAGCCCTCGTTAGTCCAGCGACTCCCAGCATCTATTTCTCACCGCGCAGAGCTCCTCTGCACATCTGGCAATAGAAAGGCAGCGCTTAGGCAGCCTAACTCCGCCGAACATCTGCTGGCAGCACTCCCTTTACGCCGCGCGCACGCGGTGGAAACTCGCTACTTAGACATGCGACTTGCGAAGAGACTGGAATAGATTGCACGGAGTTGGTGCAAAAGGGCTTGGATCCCACCTGAGCCATCTGAGCATCAGAGCGACACCGGCTCTAAAGATGCTGGACCACATTTAGCTGGAAGCGCTCGGGGAGTCTGTACCAAACGCATCATACTTGTCAGTGTTTCGGGGAGGAGGAACCCGGGGACTTTCACGAAGCTCGCGCTTGGAGCAGAGCCACAGGGAAACGCGTTTCCACTGCGAAATCGCGAAGGCTTCAGGGGAGATGGGAAACTCATGGAGCCAGGGAACCAAAGAGGAAAACCAACGATAGCTGAGAGGTTTACACCGCAGTCAGGACTTGGGCTTTGCAGGCATCAAGCTATGCACAGGCCACTACTCCTCTCTTTCTTTCCCTCCTTTCCCTGGCATCCAGTCCCCTTCTCCTCTCCCTATAAAAATGGACCTGTGCTTCTCTGCAGTGGGAAAGCACGGGAGCTCTTCCAGGAGCTCGACACGGGAGGCAACCCTCGCGTCTCAGTGTGGTTGGGCAATCATGAAAAGCAATAAATGGAAATAAAACTCCTCCTACTGAAAGCAGGCAGGACTTGAGCCGGGGGAAGGGACTGAAGGTGAAGTTAGTTTTAATTATTTCGGTATTTATAACTTAAGTTCTCGACGAGCATTGAGAGTGGGTTTGGTGCAATAAAGATGTTGCAGTACTTACCCTAAGTTATGCTCTACCTAAAGATTTTGGCGCTGTTCTTAGAAGAACAGAAAAGGTGACATTACATGACCTCAAGCATGAAATATAATTTTAGCAGGGTTCACTTTCAGTTTTCAAGAACCCTTCAGACATCCAGGGGCTTTAGAGGATGCCTGCCACGTGAAGAGCCAGCCATCGAGCACGCAGAGCACAGCTCCTGGAGAGCCCTCGGTATTGACCAGCGGGTCCGAGGGGTCGCACGCCATCGGCCACTCAAGGGACATGCTCCTTGTCGCCTGCCTCCCCGTCCCTTCCGTACAGTGCCCTTGGCTGCCACAAACCTGCCACCTGAGCAGCTTCAAAACCCCAGCCAACCCAGCTCCCTGCCGCTGCACCTCGGGCGTCGGGGAGGGCTGCGAGGCTGCCCTTCCCCAGCCTTCCAGGCAAAAGGCTTTACTGAATTCTGGCCGTATCCCCCAGACCTTACCCACAACCCGTCGCTGCAGCCCCTCACCCCACAAAGCCATAACCGACCCACGCAGCCCAGCTCCGGCCACCGCCGCATCCTCTGCGCCAGCCCAGCGCCTTTGCAGCCATCAGGAATGGCCTCCGCCTCCCAAAACTTCCCCCATTAAAGATCAAGATGCTTTAAGAAAAAACCCCTATCAGACAGCAGCAAGCTGTAATGTTCAGTACTCCCATCACACACATGTACAACTGATCACAGAGCGGGTGGCGGGACCCTCCACGCAGCAAGGGCGCGTTGTCAGGTGCCAAGTCCAACACCAACCAGAAGGTCTGAAACAAAGAGACCAGGTACAAAAGACGGGCTTTGGCACCTGGGCAGGACAGGCGGAGGCCGATGCTCTCGCCAAGGGACGGTGACAGCAAAGGGAAGCAAAGGACAGCTGCCACCCTGCAGACCACGAGGGCAGACAGCACTGCCACGCCGGGGGGGTCCCGGGCTACCACCCAGCGCCAGGGCCATCGAGGAAGCCCCACGGCCCTGGGGTTGGTACCACACATCCTCGTTTTATATTTATCAAGTCACAGATACAGAACTGTGATTTTTTTGTTTGTTTGTTTTGTAACTCTACGCTCTTAATACAAGCTCTGTACAACTCTTACTTCCCTTCACGCGGGCTTTGGACCCACTCGAGACCCTCTGCCGCACTGCGAAACCCCGTTAGAACCCAGTTACAGTTTTGTGGTGCAGATGCTCAAGCTGTTTGTTAAGACTACGAACAGCTACTTGATGATTTTGAGCAGAGCCAGGTGTACAGAGCGACATATATAGGTATATGAGTAGAAATGGTCGCCTTAAATGAGCACAGAGCCCCGCTATGAGAGAAGAAGAGTCAAGGACGAAATTACTAAGCAGCATTAATTTGCACAAAATCACTAGATGTACAGTTGCGGATACCAGAACTCCGGGAACTCCTCCTCTGGAAGGCAATCAAAATCAGATAGAAGCTACTAAAAACCCCAGATGCCCATTTTTTTCCCCCCATACACAGAACTCTATACCATGATCATAACCATCATCTGAAAGGAAAGCGTCAGTCTTCTGCTTGTCCGTGCGAGGGCGAGAAGCGCGGTAGCGAGGAACAAAGCGGGACTCACCGTCGGGCCCTTCGCTGCCTTTACTCCTTTTATTTCGACGGACGCGTCTACCTTCTTCTCCAACGTGCAGCTTTTCTTCGGGGTGGAAGAAGTTCAGCAAGGCCAGCTGGAAGAAGAAGGACAAGTTTAAGCGCCTTCGGCGAGGATGGCTTAGCCGAGCAGAGAGATCGGAGCCTGAACACCAAACCAGCTCCGTCACGGGTAGCTCCGCTGAGCCGAGGGGGAGATGCGAGGTGGCTGCTCATGGACCCCCAGCTCATCCCAAAGGGAACGACAAGGAGCCGTGTCCCCTTGGATGCAGCCTAGGACTTGGGAAAACTCAACGGGGAAAGGTTTCGGCAGGGAGAAGCATCCCCCCGGGGCACGGGGGGCTGCAGGGACAGGGATGCAGGCGGCGTCGGCGGAGATCTATAGCTGGAAATAATCAAACTCCCCAAATGCTGATGCCATCATTTCTAATTATTCCCTGCAAAACTTGCTCAATCCCGGAGCTCTTTCACCAATATTACTCACTGCCAGTAAGTTTTTCCTCTCTCAAGCTCTCGTCTGCAAGCCTCATTAGCTGCTGAGATTCACAGGTCTTCGGGGACCTTTAAAGCCCATTCAGTATGCCACATAAATTAACACTTCAAACCTAGGGCAAGCACATCTTTATGACAGGATTTTTGCCAAGAGGCAAAAATTTTATGTAGTGACCTCTTATTCATGAAAAAACCCCCAGTTGCTGCATGAAAAGCTCTGTGACGGTTATTAAACCAGCATCCCTACCCAGAAACTGGAATTTCGGTTTAGAAACTTCACCAGTCATCCCAGCTACCCCAGGGCGCGGCGGCGCATCACCAGCGGCATTTCCCCCAGCTATTTCCATTTCCTAAAACAAGGAATTTCACGAAAGAAGATCTGCCACCCTGCAGACCACGAGGGCAGACAGCACTGCCACGCCGGGGGGGTCCCGGGCTACCACCCAGCGCCAGGGCCATCGAGGAAGCCCCACGGCCCTGGGGTTGGTACCACACATCCTCGTTTTATATTTATCAAGTCACAGATACAGAACTGTGATTTTTTTGTTTGTTTGTTTTGTAACTCTACGCTCTTAATACAAGCTCTGTACAACTCTTACTTCCCTTCACGCGGGCTTTGGACCCACTCGAGACCCTCTGCCGCACTGCGAAACCCCGTTAGAACCCAGTTACAGTTTTGTGGTGCAGATGCTCAAGCTGTTTGTTAAGACTACGAACAGCTACTTGATGATTTTGAGCAGAGCCAGGTGTACAGAGCGACATATATAGGTATATGAGTAGAAATGGTCGCCTTAAATGAGCACAGAGCCCCGCTATGAGAGAAGAAGAGTCAAGGACGAAATTACTAAGCAGCATTAATTTGCACAAAATCACTAGATGTACAGTTGCGGATACCAGAACTCCGGGAACTCCTCCTCTGGAAGGCAATCAAAATCAGATAGAAGCTACTAAAAACCCCAGATGCCCATTTTTTTCCCCCCATACACAGAACTCTATACCATGATCATAACCATCATCTGAAAGGAAAGCGTCAGTCTTCTGCTTGTCCGTGCGAGGGCGAGAAGCGCGGTAGCGAGGAACAAAGCGGGACTCACCGTCGGGCCCTTCGCTGCCTTTACTCCTTTTATTTCGACGGACGCGTCTACCTTCTTCTCCAACGTGCAGCTTTTCTTCGGGGTGGAAGAAGTTCAGCAAGGCCAGCTGGAAGAAGAAGGACAAGTTTAAGCGCCTTCGGCGAGGATGGCTTAGCCGAGCAGAGAGATCGGAGCCTGAACACCAAACCAGCTCCGTCACGGGTAGCTCCGCTGAGCCGAGGGGGAGATGCGAGGTGGCTGCTCATGGACCCCCAGCTCATCCCAAAGGGAACGACAAGGAGCCGTGTCCCCTTGGATGCAGCCTAGGACTTGGGAAAACTCAACGGGGAAAGGTTTCGGCAGGGAGAAGCATCCCCCCGGGGCACGGGGGGCTGCAGGGACAGGGATGCAGGCGGCGTCGGCGGAGATCTATAGCTGGAAATAATCAAACTCCCCAAATGCTGATGCCATCATTTCTAATTATTCCCTGCAAAACTTGCTCAATCCCGGAGCTCTTTCACCAATATTACTCACTGCCAGTAAGTTTTTCCTCTCTCAAGCTCTCGTCTGCAAGCCTCATTAGCTGCTGAGATTCACAGGTCTTCGGGGACCTTTAAAGCCCATTCAGTATGCCACATAAATTAACACTTCAAACCTAGGGCAAGCACATCTTTATGACAGGATTTTTGCCAAGAGGCAAAAATTTTATGTAGTGACCTCTTATTCATGAAAAAACCCCCAGTTGCTGCATGAAAAGCTCTGTGACGGTTATTAAACCAGCATCCCTACCCAGAAACTGGAATTTCGGTTTAGAAACTTCACCAGTCATCCCAGCTACCCCAGGGCGCGGCGGCGCATCACCAGCGGCATTTCCCCCAGCTATTTCCATTTCCTAAAACAAGGAATTTCACGAAAGAAGATGAATTAGAAGCCAAACACCTTGTTCCGCCTGTTACTGCACCCGCCAACAGCCAGGGCTGCCCTGACCAGGAGGGGTTTGGGTTTGTTTTTTTTTTTTTTTACGCTGAAGAAACCCAATCACAGTTATTCAAGCCATAAATCCACGCGCAAGCCAAATACAGCCTAAGACGGGAACGAAGAGGCTTCAAACCAGCAGCACCAAAGCTTATCAAGGGCGTTATTGTTCCGAGAACAAAACCCGTGGCATCAAAAGCGGCTTTGAAAGAGCAGAGACGGATCAACTCCTTCCGCGAATTGCTAGTTAAAAGGGTGGCTCGTTAAGCTACAGGCCATAAAAGTCCCTATCAAAAGTAATAACCACTAAGGGTCTGTTTGCTTTCGACATGCCCCGGGGCTCTTGCCTCCCCTCTCCCACCCGTTGGGGTGCAGGGGGGTGCCCCCCTCCGCTCCGCACACAAACGCCTGTTCCCGAGTTATCTCCCCACGCACGCACTCTTCTCCCAGCCTACAAGCATCCCATTCCTGTTTCCTAACGAGGTTTTACATTGACATGCTGGATTTTACACTTCCGTCCCGCTTGACTCCAACAAGCCCCAATGCAGTTTCACGAATGGGATCTGGGAAACCAAAGGGTTTCCCCCTCCAAGAAAACCCCAAAGCGTTTCCCAAATTCCCATTTATTTCCACCTGCGTGCGGGCAGGTCTGCGTTCACCCCAATTCCGGATGCTTTCTCATTGCAATGATGCTGTGTCCGAAGGAACGCCGAAATGCTGCGCAACCACCCGGGACCAGCCCCTCGCAGCCTCACCGTGCGCGCAGCCGCACCTGGAAAAGCACCTAAAAAGCAACGACAAGCACCAGCAGGCACTGGTTTACCTGGGGAAGGAGCAGTCACGGCGTCGGATGGAGAACTGGAGGCTCTCGTTTACAACAAGCCTTAGTAAATAGAGGGAACGAGGGGCACGGCTCCCCTCCGCCCATCGTCCCGCTCCTCATCCCACCACGCCGCCCCAGACCCCAAGCCCTGGAGCAGGACGCTCTGGCGGGCGCCGCCAGTTCCCTCCCCTGCACGACAAAGCAGGGCAAGAGATGAGCAAAAAGTGAAGGGTTTTGTTTTAAACCGCTTATTTAAGTCAAGCTGAAACGCGGTCGAACTAACTGAAGGAAGAAATTGTATTATAATTCAGGTTAAAACTTCAATGGCGTCATTGAATGCCGGTCCTACTCGCCGCTCTTATTTGAGCTTTACAAAGCGTGGCTAAATTAAAGCTCTGAAAATGAAGCGGTGGGGGACCGGCCCGTTCAGACGTGCAGCTCCCGCCCCAAATAACCCCGCTGACTTTGGCCCAGCGCCGCACGAGCTGCTCCCAGCGCCGAGGCTAAAACCTGCATCTTCCATCTCGAGAAGATTTTGTAACGGCACAACCCTAATCGTGTCAACCCCTCCGCCAGGTTTCCTTTCCCCACTATTACAGATCCAATTTTAACAAAACACCCACAATTTTGAAAAGCTGCAGAATAATATTAAGCTCACCCCGTGGCACCTCCTTCTCCGCATTTGGGCACTGACACGGAGATTAGTGATAAATACTCCGGGGTGATATAAATACACTGGGGTGATATAAACACACCGGGGGATATTTTTTCCTGCCAGGTATAAGCTGGATCCTCACACGCCACCCTCCCACCCATGCTGTCAAGAAGCGGAACTACTGGCAAGCTTGGAATAATTCCAAGAAAAGTTTCACCTGGAAAATCATCGGGATTTGGAAGGGAATAAACCACCCTGACTTCTCACTTTGACTGACAGGTTCTGTTGTTTTCAAGGAAACAATCAAAATTTCTTAAGAGGCTTGAAAGCTTCTCCCAATCTGAACAAAACCATTCCAGTCTCAGAAGAGGAAATACGAGAGATTGACTTTTTGGGGGTTTTTTTGAGGGGGTTTGGGGTTTTTTCTTGGTTTTTTTTCCAGGACAGTTAATCAAAATAACCTTTCTAGTGAAAACTCAAGTAACGGGGCTCTGAGCATGCTTTGGTCAGCAGTAATAGCAATGTGAAACCTTAGGTTAAAAAACAAAAGCCAATGAAACACAAACTTAAATGACGGCTACCAAAGCACATCACCCTCATCACCCTGCCGCTGCACCCAGCCAGACCTTCCTCCTCATCCTCATCCTCCTCCCACCACGGAAGCAGCGAGAGCTCTTCCACAAAAGCGATGCTAGAAAGCATCAAAATGAGGACTGACCCCTTCCCCTACCCTGTCCCCTTCACTGGGCTGCTCCGGAGCCCCCCAAGCAGCAGCTCAGCTCTGGCACGTCCCTCCGGAGCCAGGGGACATATCCTGAAGCCACCTCTGCAGCGCTGCCGCTGGGCAGGTCCCACCGCACCCCGTGCTGTCACTGGAATTGCCACAGGCACCCATGGCTTGTGCCACCCACGGCACCCATGGCATCTTCCGCACCCCCCCTCGTCCTCGGAAGAGGCTCTTCACATCATGCACGTGGGGTACTTTTTTTTGTTTTGGCTGGCAGAACACACATCCAACATTGCTGAGCATTTCTTTTTCTTTTCAATACAGACGATTGCTCAAACCTTCACAGGATCACAGAATGGTTTGGGTTGGAAGGGACCTTTAAGGTCCATCTAATCCATCCCCCCTGCCATGGCAGGGACACCTTCCACTAGCCCAGGGTGCTCAGAGCCCCGTCCAACCTGACCTTGAACGCTTCCAACGACGGGGCATCTTCTCAGGGCAACCTGTTTCAGCACCTTGCCACGCTCATGATAAAAGGTTTCTTCCTTATGTCCAGTCTAAACCTACCCTGAGTTTAAAACCCTTGCCTGTGTCCTCTCACCACAGGCTTTGGTAAAAAGTCTCTCTCCCTTTTTCTTACCAGCTCCTTTATAGATTGAACGGCCACAGGCAGGACTCCTGGAGCATCTTCTTCTCCAGGCTGAACAACCCCAACTCTGCGGCTCTGCTCTCACCCAGGTTTTATTCCTGTCTCACGCTTATCACTGATCAGTCCGAAAAATACTAAATATCAGCTAAAAGTAATCAACCCATTAAACACTGCCTTTCTAATACGACCAAGTCAGAAAGAAATGACGGTAAATGACCAGAACATACATTTTACTTAGAAAAAAACCAATAAAAACGGCTTGTGACAGCAATCGCGACCGTGCCAGCTACGAGCACGCACCGCTCTGAGACCAATCCCCGGGAAAAAAGCTTTCCTGAAGAAGACAGACACCAGTCCCTCACGCTGAGCCTGGCAAAGGACGCAACTGGTGGGAGCAAAAAGACAGAGCGGGGAGTTTGTCCCAGGGGCTGCTTCCACAGCGCTTTTAATTACACAGGCAATGGCATTTAACCCCTGGGGAGCAGGGGTTCAAAGAGGTTCCCCCTCTGGGTGGAGGGCGCTGCTCGGGATCGCTTCTCCAGAGCTCAGGATGGCCAAGCTGCTTGCTGGGCGCCGCGCATCGCCCGGCCCCAGGCGGCTGCCAACCCCCCCACCGACGAAGGCGAAGCCTCTCCCCGCTGCCTGAAGGGGTCCCTTGTTCCAGGGGCCGCAGCTGCGGGAGGTCAGGGGGACACTCGGCCACCGGGTCAGCCCGTGAAGGGCCACGCTGTCCGGCTGGGGACCGGCGGCTGGCACAGCTGCGCCGGTCAGAAGAGCAAGGGATGCTTTTTCCATCCACCACCCGCTGAGATATGATTAATGTATTCACCCGCAGCTCTTGGACCCTGCAGCTTTCGGTCTGGACCTAAGGGTGGATGTTGTTGTGCCTTAAACTCGTTTTCTCCCTGTTATTTGGCGTGGCCGCAACGAGGGAGAGGATTTGCAGGGCAGAACGCGCAGATGTTTGCCACCCATCTAGCAAAATACGATGCAGCCACGCAGACAGATGCAAAAGGAGAAACGACCTTCAGCAAAACGCTGCTGGCTGGACGCTAGCAAGGCATTGGGGTATGGAGGTCGCCGGGAGCAACACGTACGTCTGAAAAACACACCGAGCGGCGAGGACGGCTTCTGCGGGCTCCCTCCCTCGCGTGGGAGCAAAGCAGCGGGCTGGGCAGGCGCCTTGGTCAACCCACCATGGCCATTCCCGTGGCTGAATGCTTCCCAGCACTTTAAAAATTCCCAGAAACATTTTGCGCAAGCATCAGCCGCATCCTTTTAGGACAAGGCGGAGCAAA